AAGAAAAAACCCACCGTGGGGGGTGGGGGGGGGGGGAGAAAAAGACAAAACGAAACAAAAAAAAAAAAGGAGAGACAAAGTCTTTTATTACAATGATGAATTTATAAAAATATGAACATTTTCATGAGAAAGTCAAGTAAACTGATAAAAAAAAAGACACAGAAATGAACACTTTATCTGGATGAGGACATCAAAATGCTACATTTAATCAAGGTTAAACTAAAACGAGATAAACAAACTTCAGAATGACCGGTCCAGTGGAGTGAGGGATGAGAGGGAACTGCAATGCTCACTTTCTGTTGGCCGGCATCGTCCTTCATGTCCTGGAGTGTCTGAGCTTCATGCTGTTACCTGTGAACAGAGGAGAGCATGAAAGAAGCTCAAAATGGAAACAAATGCCTCAGAAGGAGCAGAGCGACACGTTTTCTTCTCCTTACTTTGACAGCACACACCCAAACAAACCAAAAAATACACAATGACTTGCAAAAGGATTCAAACAATTTTATCATCACATTTCAACCCCAAACTTCAGTACAATTGATTTGATTTTTTTTTTTTTTTTTTTGCGCGACGGAGCCACACAGAGGAGCACATAATTGTGAAGTGGGAGGAAAATGAAGCCTGGTGTTTTACAAATGGCCGAAGACTGTTCTGGTCAGACGAGGCCAAAATGGGAGCTTTCAGTGCCTCCATGACTATCACAATGAGCGACATCTCTCTCATTATGAGCGAAGCAGCATCATGCTGCGGGGATGCTCTCATTTTGTTAAATTCTGTGCGACCTGTGTGCCGCCATAAAAGACAAGTACTCGGATTTAAAAGGTGGTGCCAAAAACGATGCTTGCGTTTCCTGTTTGGAAAAGTCCTTCTTATAGGAAAGAGTGGAGCACAGAATAATCTCAGATACTTTACAAATCTATACGGAAAGCTGTAAACAAACTCTGTACCTCCTGTTGCGACAGGCATCCAGGTCTTCCTGCAGCAAAGAGGCCGTCTTCTGGAGGAAGCTGACCTACAGCACACACACACACATGCACACACACGCACACACACACACACACACACACACGATGTAAAACACGGTGCAGCGAAATGGTGCTGGAAATAACTGGGTGTAAACAGAAAGGAGGAAGCAGGAGACGGGTTGGTGTGAGCTTGGTTGTGCTTTTGGCTGGTGTTGGGTAGCACAACAGAGGAGAGTGAAAGAAAAGGCTGCTTGTTAAGTCCAGGGGTCAAGACAGCAGGGGCAGAGGGGTCAGGAGATCAGGGCAGCAGGGTGAAGGCACACTGGGACGACCGGGCACATTACGGGCCAGAGTTTGGACGCCGTGAGAGGAGGCAGCGCGGCTCTTTTGTTTGGCTACAAATTGTAAGTTTATTTATGAAGTGCTGCTTTTGGCCGGAGTGAAAATAAACCCCCATCTACATTTACTTGGCGTCCAGCGCCTGGCAGAATAATCACAGCTCCAGAAGAATCCGTATTGTTCTGGGACTAGCGTACTGGAGCCGAGGGTGCATTCCTTTCTGTGGGGGAGACCTCAGCTCCAATTCTAGCGTTTCATTTAAAATATATGCAAAACTCTACCAAAATGTGGTTGCAATCCTCGTGAGGCACAAAAAAAAAAAAAAAAAAACTCTCCGTACCTGTTTTTTTTTTTTTCCCCTCCCTCTATTCAAAAACAATCCATGTTAATGTGTAAGAACCCGAAACGCTGTCAATGAGACGAGAGGCCGCTCTGGTCACGGATTACATTTTATAAACATTTCTGATCACAGCGCTGTGGTCTGCGTGCTGAAATGAGATCCAGGGAGATGTATTTAAACAAGGGAGGGTTGAACATGAGCCCTTTTTTACCCTGAAAGCTCCTATTAACAAAATTATTTACAATGTAAACGCCGAGAAGGGGTCCGCGGGTTAAACTAGCTCAGCGCTCTAAAAAAAATAACTAAAGAAAAGGCCGAGATTTCACTTCATTTATAGCTCTGCGCAAATACTTGGGTTATCTCCAAATCCCTCTATTTGATAAAAAAAAAATAACTCAGGTGGTTTTTATTACCAGTTTATCTCTCCATAGCATACAAAGTATTAACTATTTGGTCCCAACATTCTTCCATTTGGACCAATAACCATTGCCACAGCTTAGTTCCTTTTGTTGAACTGTTGGTGATTAATGATCCCAAAAATGCTCGAATTGAATGAATCACATAAAATAAATGAAACTATTATCAGAGAAATTTATTTTACACCTACATTTTAATTAATTTTTGCTTCAAATCCATATTCGGGTCAGTCAACCTGCAGAAAAACTTAACGTCACACTCTAAACATCTCATCTAGTAAAAACGTTTGATTCTCTGTCCCATAGAGGATTATAATGCGGTTTAAAAAGAAAAGTTTTTTTTTTTTAAATGTAGTGTGTCTGAACACTTCACAGCCCATTACTAGCTGATCTCTGATCAGTGCAAGCGGTGCAGCGAGAAGCAGTTAGACGCAGCGTTCATAGCGGGATTTCAAAACGCTACCTGATGACATTAAAACACCGGCAGTGTTTAAGAACTGAGCCGGAGCTTGTGTTAAAGTATTCAGCAGACAACTGCGGCTGCATACGACACATTTACCTACTTTACTACCCACTGACTGGTGATGTAATAAACAGCAGGAAGACAAGAGATGGTGAGCTTGAGTTATTCTGATTCTAATCCGACTTTATTTTTAACAGGTTTTTGCCTTTAGACAGATTTTTTTTTTTTTAGGCATTACTTGCCTCATGCTTGACTTTATTTACAGTAGTTATAGACGCAACATAAGCTGTTGTCATCAAGAGGAGGGGAGAGTCCACGCAACTGGGCAAATATATGACTAGAGATATTGCCTGCCAGGTTCTTGCTGGATTTTCCCCCCCCCCCGTCTTTTTGCTTAAAATGATTCTGCTCATCTATTGTAAGGGAACTTTCAGGGGCCAGACACATATTCCTTAATCCTCACATATCTGCAATCCTGATTTATTAAAGCCCACACTAACCAAACAATATGATGAGAGAAAAATAACTGAGAAGGCTTCCAGAAAGCCTGGAGATCAAGACCATCTTAAATAACCACAAGAAAGTGTAGTGCGCTGGCAAGCAAGGACATAAAACTTGCAGAGCTTAAAAACCTCTGCACAGTGCTTTACGTTTCGTAAATTTATAATGTAAGAATTTGTTAGACCTATTTTTCCAGACAAATCCAGTTTCCAGCAAAGAAAGAACATACTGCTAACACAAATAACAGAATGTACTGATAGGTAAAGCTTTTTTTTTTAAACATCATTAAGGAACAGCGTTAAAAATAAGGGTAAAACAACAAGCTACAAATTAGGGCACGTTGTGCACATATAATGATTCTGTAATCATGCATAAACAGAAAGCACATGGACCTGTCACCCAGTGAAAATATTTAGGGAATTAAAAACTAGAGAAACAAAGGTTTCAAGATACTGAGGGGCTAAACTTCTAAAATAAAAAAAGTAGAATAAATGAATAAAAACGTCTAAATTTAAAGCAGCCGATCTAAACCAAAGTGCTGTTGCTAGAGAAGGTGATGCAACGCTTGAAAGCAGACATTAAAAAAAGCAGAATGCCTGTTAAAATGAAAAAAATAAATAAATAAAATAAAATAATTCCTGTATTTTAACTTCTGTTTATGTTCACCAAAAGTTCTCACCTGAGCTTTCAGAGAGGTGATGGTGTCCTCCAGCTCCTTCCTGAGATCCGCCGGCATCAGACCTTTGATCTTCTCCTCATACTCCTGATGCACCATTGTCACCTGGGAAGACAGATCCTGTTAGATCAAACGCCATCAAGTCCAAGACCAACACGGTCACACGGTGATCGACGGAAGCGGCCGAACAAGGGCGTCTCAGTAACTTAGAATGTCCCTGAAAAGTTCAGTCATTTCAGCGATTCAGTTCCTAAAGTGAAGCTCAGATTTGACAGATTTATCACACATTGACAGACATATTTTAAGCACTCATTTTGGTATGAGTTTATGATTACGGCGCACAGCTCATGGAGACGCCATAATAACATATAACAATCAATAAAAAGGGTTTTCAATTCAACATGTCTGTTTTGAATTTCAGGTTTTCCGTCCACTTAACCTTCCATTAATATGCTGGAAAAAGTCTACTTTGTATTCTGTAGGAATAACGTTTTAGTGGACCATTTGCAGGACAACTATTAGGTCTGCAATCTCTTTTGTGATTGTGTGGAACATAATACTGGCATATCATAACATTCCTGCTTTTAAAACAAACAAACAAAAAAATAAATAATCAGCCTTATGGAATATAAACATTTTTCAAAAACGACTAATTACGTTTGTCTTTCCTGCAAAACATAATCACTAAAATTAGCAGAAATAAACAGATTGTACATTTATCACTGCGCGTCATATCTAGACAAGTCTCAGTTTTTGAACTGAATCCCTGAAGCACAAAAAACATTTTGACGATATTCTACTTTACGGAGATGCATCTGTACACCATTAATCTGAGAATGTCCCTGCTGAGTAAGTGTTTCTGCATGTCTTTGACTCCGAGGCACTGTAAGCCAAGCAGCAGCTGACACACACACACACAGAGTGTGAGGGTATCCCCTCTTTATTCATGCCTCAGAGTTCCCTCGCTTTTCACAGCTCCTTCACATCTCCACAGGGGGTCCAGCGGCGTTGGCATGACTCGGCTCTGCACGACACCCCCCTACTGGTTGTTGGCCACTACAGCTGTATCCGCCACAAAGCACTGACGGGGGTTTGGAAGAGGATGGATCGCATGAAACACAGCAGCAGCAGCTCAATAGCCAGCGAGCTATCTCCACTGGGGAGGACGGGAGGAAGTCTGTCTGGGGCTAAATTACACTCTGCTAAACCAGAGTCTGATTATAGAAGTTGAAAAGGGTTTGGTTAGTGCAACCCCCACTTTTTACCCGCAAACACACATGAATGGAAGCGCTCGTATACGCGCTTGCAGACATGCGAGCACAAACCGAGCTTTTTACGGTACTGTAAAAAAAGAGTTTATGGCGTTCAGAAGAGCCGCCGAATCAATTAATTCAGAGCTCGACGAGCGCTTCGGAGAGGCGACGCAACAGTTTTCATCCGCATATTTCAAGGTGTAACCAGGGGGAGAGTCTGTGTGTGGCAGAGCCAGAGTCCAGCCAAAGTCCAATCTGCTCTTTCAAGTGAAGAGAGCGTGAATGAAGTGATGGGGGACGGTTAAAAGAAGAAGAAGAAGAAGAAAAAAAAAGATCTGCTACCCTAAAATAATCTTCCTGTTGTGGATTTAACTGATTGTTCTGGCTTTGGCTAATTAATCTTCCTGGGCACAATGAAAAGGACTGGGGAAGCACTTCAAAGCAACCCTCAGCATAAATGATCCCTACATGAGGCAGCTCACTTTGTCTCGGCACAGTGTGCAGCAGATTAGTCTGGCACAACTTCGCCAATTTCTCCAGCCTCCTTCCAAACCTATTCATTTGAAAGTGTTAGAGCAATTACTGTGGGTTAGGAATCCATCGGTTAAGAAAAAAAATATGTTATTTTTCCCCATGCTGTGTGAGAACGGGGTTCAGGACAGTTTAAAAAGTGACCTTTTTTTAAACAGGTTGCAAAAAAAACCAACAAAAAAAAACAAACAAAAAAAATAAACAGGTTGTAGAAGCTTTAATTTCAATGTCCTGAAGACGTCTATCTCTATCTATAGCAGCTTCTGTAGTCATAACAGAACGGCAGGCCAAGACAAAACACACTTCGCCGCTTCAGACCGAAGCAATAAACAATGGTTGAATAAACACATCCCTTACCAACCGCTCTGAATACAAGTCTCAGATTCTTCAAAAGCCAAGCTCCTTAGTTTTGCATTCTTGATTCGTGTATGGTGCCGCCGCCGCGGCAATGAGAGGTCCGCTCGAGCTAAATTATAAGCTCTCTTGTGGCGACGCTGTCTCCATCGTCTGTCCCATACATACGCTGGAAGGGGAGAGCCTACAGCAGCATATTCTGAAAAACTCCAAGAGAGCTGCAGGGGAAAACTGGTAACCTTGTATTGCCTTGCAAATATATTCGGACACCTTGTTTTCTCTCCTTTTCCTCACGTTACGACAACTGGCTTTAATGCATTTTATTAGCAAATGAAGGATTTCTAAAGGATGCATAGTCTTAGAAAAAGTAAAATAAAATAAAAAAGAGTAATAGTTAGTAACTCTAACATCAATATGCTTTGATCTAAACCATTAAAGCTCAGGCTGTATATTTAGAAGCTGAACCTCCAACAGCTGTTCTTCCTGTTTTTGTTCCCTTCAGTTTTCCCATCAGCTCTGACTAGCTTGCCTGTTCATGCAGAAGAAACATCCCTGCAGCATGATGGTTACACTTCCATGTTTCACTGTGTGCTTCATTACAATGTAGAGCTTTAGGTTTCCGCCAAATCTAGAGTTTTCTACATGGGTGAAAAGAGGAGTTTAGGTCTTCCTCTATTCTATCCCTTCTTTTTTTTCTTGTCACCTTTGCCTCCTTCAGAGTTACTCTGGTTCTGTTGGCTGCTTCTCTGATTAAAGTCCTCGTTCACCGTCAGCTTATGTGAGCGCCCAGGTCTTCGTAGGTGTGTAGTTGTGTCGTACTAGCCAGGTTGACAATTTGACAAACTGATGGATCTTCATGACGCTGTTTGTTGTTTATTACTGCTAAAAACCTGAGGCAGACAGCTATATTTAAATTACATTTAGTTTCTATCAGAGAATCAGAGTGACGGGATTAAGATTTGAAAATAAATAAATAAAACAAACAAGGAAAACTGAGCCTCCTTTTACTTCTTTCTGTTAGTCAATCACATAAAATCTCAATAAAACACATTCAAGTTGGGCAAGACCTCTCACATGCGCTCAGTGTTTGGTTATTGACCAAGTCCATCTTATCTCAGAGCGTGTGGACGGAAGCAGCAGTCTTTATCATAACAATATCTCTGTTGTCTAAACCTGACTGCCGCTAACACACACAGAGACTTCGCCGTGTCTCTCGGTGGAGTTAGAAATGCAAAACAGAAGCATCCGACTCCCCAAAAACCAGACAGACTTGTTTTCTTAAAGACATTGTTCCTCCAGCTTTGCATTCTCTTCCAAAGGTCCTCCCTCTGCATCTTTCCTCTTCTTTCATGAAAACACACAGTTTTTTTTCCCCCTCTCTCTTTCAACTTCTTCTTCTTTTTTTTTTTTTTTTTTTTTACAGCAAAGGCATGTTTGTTTTCCCGACAGGCAGAAAGAGACATGCGATGACATCTGAGGGGAGTGGGGGGGGAAAGGCTCCTCACCAATTGGAGAAAAAGTGAGACGTATTTGAACAACGCTGCAGATCAAACCCGTCACTAGGACTTGGTCACTGACAGACTCCAGATGTGAGCAGAAAGGAAAGAAAGGAGAGAAAGAAAAGAGAGGGAGACACTGCAAAGAAAAACAAAAACAAAAGAAAAAGTGTGTGCCACTATTTCAGCTTGTAATGAAAGACGACTTTGAATTTCTAAAGACGCATCAGGTTTGATCTGTGCAGATCTCTTTTTGAAAGTGGGGTTCTGTTTGTTCCTGATGAGGTGCCGTTTTGAATACAGCGAGGAGCGGCAGTCGTTTTCCCCCCTCCCAGTCATCTTAAAATGACAACATTTCATCTATATATAGTCCTCAGATTGTGGTTTTGACTTTCTCTCATGCTTCGCGCCGTCACATGGCATGGCTTCTGACAGCTGCCAGCAGAAAGGAACAAGCCCTAAACACTTTCAACGTTCAAATGAAGTTTGTCACATCGCTGAAGAGGCTTGATGCATGCTAATGAAGCTGGTGTGTGTGTGTGTGTGTGTGTGCATGAAACAAATAGTGTGTGTGTGTGTGTAAGGTGTAGAGGGGGGGGGGGGAAGAGGCATTTTTTTTTTATATCATCCATTGTTCCCAGGTGACAAAACCCTTGTCAGGAACAAGAGGATACATCAAAAATGCCAATGTTCGCAAAGTTTGCACCTCCACATCCAGAGTTGGAAGTCAGCGAGTTCATGAAAGAGCGATTTGGAATCAAAAGCGCTTTGTTACAAGATGAAGGAGGGAAAACGGCTTCGAATGAGCCAGAGGTCTCTGTGGAGTTCACTGAAGCTACAGTAAGACAGGGATCCTACTCATTATGAAGGCAAAAACTCCTGACTTTTCCAGACTCAACTTCCCAGAGTTCCCAGTGGTTTACATTCATTTGAAAGTATTGAGTACAAAATATCCACTTTCGAATTGTGTCTGGTATTCATACAGGCAGCAGGCTTTAAATGCGGAAAGTGGGCAAGGAGGAACAGGGGGAGAAATAAGGAAACAAGGAGATATTAAGGAAGAAAGGACACAAGGAAAGAAGTAAAGGTAAGGATAAAAAAGAAAGGACATAAAAATGGACACGAGAAATGAAAGAACAAAGGACAGATTGAGGGACAGATAAAGGACAGAAAGAGGACAGGGCACAAGCATGAAAAGGAGAAAAGGAAAAGAAGGAACAAAGGAAGTATATTGTGAAACTTTAAGACACATGAGGGAAGGAAGAAGGGAAGGAAGGAAGGAGACTTAAACAGAACAAATCTAGACCTTTCCAGATTGTAGCAAGATGCTGACTGATGGCAGGTTGTGTGATAGTCAACTATTTGTTATTTACTAAAAACAACATGACTTTACATTCTCAACCGCCTAAATTGTCACCATGACACCAAAGACCTCATGAACCCATTGACTTACATGTAAATACTTTAAGGGTGACGCTTAAGGGATTTAATCAAAGTTAGCACCTGTGGCAGAGACCAGCGCTAAACTTTTACAGTTTGCCGTGTCTAGCCTGTCATTCATAAGGAGAGCTGCTCTCTACAGGCCACCATCTTGAAGGAGAGCCGAACCACGCACTGAGCTGATGAGATGCCGTTTTGGAGGCGAGGGCCCCTGTGAGTGCGGGGCCAGCAACATCTGTGCGAAGCCTGGGCAGGAAAGCTGCTTCAGCATGCGAGAGATCGGATTACAAAAGACACAAGAAACATCTTGGCAGATAAACAAGAGCAACATGTGAGCGAGGAGGAAAAGGCGAATCGGTGTGGCCTCAACTATTAGTGTGCATGAACCACAGAGGGCACAACTACTAACTGAGAAACGTATACAGAAAGAGAGATTAGCACTAAACACACACCAAGCAATGTGATTCAGACACGCTCGCTCAAAGCCTTTTCTCCGTTTATCTCTTAGCAGAATGTCAGGGGGAGAAAATCTGTTCAGCGTGTTCAAGACCGTGAATCACGAGCTGTTGAGAGCCTAAAGTGGGAACCAAAAGGCTTTGTCGCATTCATCGTGTTGTTTACTCGTCCTCTGCTTCAACATGCTTTTAACATACAGGTGTTAGCACCAAAACGAAAGAAAAACAAGAAATTCTCGTCTCCTGTATTTTACCTGACTCAATTTGTTAAAGGGGCAGTATTATGTAGTGTCGACTTTTTTGAGTAAACGTTTTTTATATTGATGTTCTAATGTTATTCCCCCATCAAAAACACACCTGGAGTGTTACCTTGACTATTTCAGGCATGTTTGGGAAAACCCTTAATCTCCCATGGCAACCATTCAGCTGCATTAAACACCTGGGTGGACCAAGCCCCGCCTTTGAGGCGGTATCCGAGTTCCCACCTTACAGAGCAGACATCGGCCACAACGCCCTCACTCGGATCCTTCAGACTAGCCAATAGCAATTAGCAAACACCTGGTGGAACTGCACATGTGCTGAGCTCATTATAGGAGCTACTTCTCAGTGCAACGTTGATAAAAATGTATTAAAGGGTTAATGGAGAGATAAGGTTGCTGAAATGTGCAATAGATGTGCAAGAACAATAAACCTGATGGATTGATTGATGTTGTGATGACTTCCTGAAGTCAGAGTGTTGGAAAAAGCAAAAGTCAAATTCCTTTCAAGTGACATAAATGCAACATTTTTTATAACAACTGAAAGTACATGATTGTGCTATAAAACCTTCTATATTGCTGGAAAACACAATACTGACCCCTAAAAAAATTTAAAAAACCAACTCTTTAGATTGCAATCTGGGTTTGTGATAGGCTGAAAACAACTTACAGAACTTAATCATACTTCAGGCCTAGTCCAATATGGCTGATTTTGTTTCATTTCTATCCAAAAAAGGAGAAAAAAAAATCAGATCAACAAAAAAGGATGAGAAAAAGAATATTTCAAACCGATTGCATGTGAAATATGTTAAAAATAATGTGAATTTCTTTTTCATAACTCACTACCTTGTCTGTCATATAAAATGTTATTAAATGATACTAGATTACACTGTTTTAAAAAGTTTAAAACAAGGTGCTAATCGTTTTGCGAGGCACCGGATGCCATAATTTAATTAAACTAAGACCACCTTGCAAGAAAGAGCAAGCAGAATCCCCTGCGGCGCAGCAAGGTGTGGATCAGTGACAAGTGGCTCCTGAAAACCGGTGAGCCCCGTCGACTCGATTTATGACGGCCCGACTGGGAGACGTGTGACGAGTGTGTGAAGTGTGTGCAAGGGTCAGTGGGCGGATCAGAGGGAACACAGGAGAACGAATGCCTTTGGAGTACATACCGCGGTACAAAGACCAACCTCCTGCGTGAGCACAGTCATTAGTTCTTTCTTCTCTGTGTGTGTCAAGGTCAAAACATAGTCTGATTACAGGGCATTCTCCACAGCCACTTGGTGCGCGTGTGTGCGCGCACCAGGGCTTTCCTTTTGAGCACAGGCAGCGGTGGCATTCTTGGCCCTAGGCGCTGACTCTTGAGGCCAGATCTCAAGGAATTTGGGAAATGTGCAAGGGGGCATATCGTTGACTCTGAACAGGAGAAGGAGAAACGGTAGGTGGAAGAGGGCAGAGGAGGAAAGGAGGCCAAGAATATTTTGTGTTTCTTTTGCAGCCCCCTGGAGGACTGAGTCAGAATAGTAAATCAGAAAGGAGGAGATTGCAACATGAAGCGATAAAGCAGCAAAAGAAGATGTTATAGGACAGGATTTTATGATCAAGAAGAATAAAACGGTTGTGATGCAAAAAGCTGAAGGTGAAGTTGGAAAAAAAAAAAAGTGATGCAATGATGACAGGAAGCTGCAAATTGTGCAGCAGAAAACAATGGGAAAGAAGAGATAAAGGGAAGAGGACAAACAAGTTCGTTACCCTCTCTTCGGTCTCCAGCTCCTTGTTGAGCAGCTTCTTCTCGGCACTGTGCAGCTGTCTCCGCAGACTCTCCAGCTTTTCCTGCAGAGCCTGGGGACAAGAAGAGGCGTTCAAGTCGGCTGACAGACGCAAACCGAAAAACAGTTTCTGCCTGGTTTAACATGTAAGTGACGCAAACGGGTAGACACTGATCTGCAGTTTGATTTGAGCTGAGAGGAGAAGGCGCGATGCAGCTAAATGAGAGGCCACAAGAGAATCACGAAAATATGCAGATGAGACAGAAAACCAGAGGAGGAACAGGGGATGCAGAATTTCTGTTTTTGCATGTGAAGTGAGAAAGCCGTGAAGAACTTTTTCCACAAAGTAGGAGCAGGGGGGTAAAAATGCTTCGTACAGAAAATGGTCAGATTGTCATAGAAGATTTTGATGGAAAAAAGATAAAAGGAGCTCAGAGCGTGTTTTCGAACAGGTCAGCTCCGACATTTAGGCGCGAGCGCAACACAGAACCAGATCTTTTCAGCACACTTCATCTTTGATTAGTCTGCACAGAAAACGGAGAGAGTGATGCAGGTGTGAACGCATGCAGCAACAGCACAGCAGCGAGTTTACAATTTCACACACACACACACCTCCGTCAAGCGTGTGAGGCTCTGGCAACAATCAATATCTGCGGCGTCACACCCTCCTCCCCCCCACACACACCTCCGGAGCTGAGTGAGTGAGCCAGGTGTTGGCTTGTTGACTCTCTCTGAGCAGAAGGAAACGCAGTCCAGGTGATAGGCATGACCACCTGATCTGCGGCCCACTCCACTGACATAAATCACGCAGACTACAAAGCTTTAGGGCACGAATGAGCTTCTGAGCAGCACCTCCGAGACGCACTGAGAGGTAAACAGCTGAAACTTTAGTCGGGCGTGTTATTATATGCAGTCAAACAAACAGGAGCCGAGTCTGGTGGAAAAACCCACCTGACCTATTTACTCAGTATTTGTCAGATGTAAGGACATAAAAATAAATAAATAAATAAATTTATCTAAATATCAAACTGTTCATATTATGAGGTTTTTGGGGGGCAAACATAAAGTCTATACCTCCATAACATCAAGTTATGATAGGATTTGATTCTTATTTTAATAAACCATCATGTCTACAATGTGAAATTAGGGTTCTCCTATTTAAAACAGAGGCTCCTGAACAACAGGCAGTCCCAATTTCGATCATTATTTAGCTTTCTGAACCCTGACCTCTTATGTGGTTTAGCTGTAATGTTGATCTGGAGTAAGAAACACCTTAAAGGGGCAGTATTATATATTTTCCAAGCTCGTAGTGCCATTTTGTATTGCAAACAAGTCACTATTTGGTCATTATAAAAATACTGTATTTACCAAACGTAACTTAAAAAGAAAAATGACTTCAAGGTTTGATGAATCGAAACTGGCCACTGTGTCTTTAAGAAGCTCTGTGAGAGCAAGTGTGTAGGCATCCCCCGACTGGCTGCCATGGGACACTCAAGGATTTCTCAAGCATAGATGAAACTCCAAGTATATTTATGAAGAGGAAGTATCAAAATAAGATGATATAAAGTCCAAGCCCACCTCCACATTTACTAGACAGTAATTGGTTTGACATGGCTGTACAGAGTGGCAGATGAGCTGACCTGAGTAGACGCCTGTATTTTTATTAAATAAATGTATTGTCTTGAAATAAGTTTCGTTTTCGAGCAATGCAAAAACACTAAATTGTGTAAGAAAACTAATTTATTCTGTAGGCAGCGTTTACATACAACAGTAAAGCCGGCAGGACAAGCGATGAAGATGAGGAAAATCAAGCCTCCTCCCCCTCTTTCTGAACCCACGCCTGATTTCCCGCACCGTGACGCAGGATATCTGGTCCACTTCTTCTGGGAAGGACGGCTAACTAGAGGGCTCCGCATGTGACGTACGCTTTCTTGTGGCATCTGAATTAGACGTGCTCAGAGCACATCGGAGTTCACAAGTTCAACGTTTCTCACATCATTAGCAGTATCATATGGGACGATTCTGCTGAACAACAGCAGTGCTTTGTGACTCAGAAAAAAAAAAAAAAAAAACGGCTTTGGAGTTATTTAGTCATTACTGGTGTCAGACAGGATGGAGGGATGATGTTACACACTGCTAACAAGAGGCAGCTCACTGAGTCTAATAGACCGAGGCAGCACTACAGGAAAACAACACGTTTCTGAAGTCGCAAACACCTGCCCTGAGTTTGACTTTAATCCAGAGGAATCACTCTGCCGCACATCTAAAGCGACATGACAGCGGGTTTACAAATTAAGGCTTCGATGAGCTTAATTCACGAGTTTCGATTTTGCTGGTGACTAATAAGGGGTGAAAGCATACAGGTTCGTACAACTGTTAACTGAAAAGAAAACAGGATCAGCATATTTTCAGTGACTTCTCACCACGAACTCAACTCAGTTTCTTTGCTCTTGTAGGCCTTTAAGGGAAAGATTGTCTGAATGTTGACAACAGTGAAACCTTTCACAAGCTATTTTGCTCAAAGAAAGCCACTCTTGGTTTTTACTCCTGACCAGAACCTCGAGGACCCGTGTAGACTGGTACAAAATAATAACGTTTACTTCGCACAAGACTTTGCATTAAAAGTTAGCTTTGAGTGTAGGTGAGAAGCTTACCTACACATCTAAAGCGACATGACAGTGGGTTTACAAATTAAGGCTTCGATGAGCTTAATTCACGAGTTTCGATTTTGCTGGTGACTAATAGTACGACATTCATATGTCGTACTCATCCTACGACATATGAATATCCTGACGGCAAGAGAAAATGGCAACAAGTAGCTTTCCTGATCTAGCATGTGCTGTCTGTAAAGGTGCACCGTGTGTCGGACAAGAAGCCAATCAGCAATCTGGGATTTATTAACCATAGGGAAAAGGATGATTGTAAGCAAGCCAGGAAGAGGAGTAAATTGTTTTCTTTATGAAGGGATGCAGACAGAGGAGTGTGACAGGAATGGAAAAACAGATTAAGGCATGACAGAGAAAGTTATATGGAAATCTGAAATTGCAAAGCAAGCCTTAGGAAAATAAAGAGACATGTGACTGAATCAGAAGGCGGAATGAAAGTTTAGAAAGGTGAAAATGAGAAGCATCAAGAATTTGAGGAGGGGAAAAAAAAACTAGCGGGAGACGAAGGGGAAAAAGAAAAAGCATGTGGCTGGCTTGCAGAGGTTGGGTCAGCGGCGCACTCCTGCCTCGCAGTTTCACAGTCGGGAGGCTTGAAGGTCTCGCTCTCTCTCTCTCTCTGCCCTCCCTCCCCATCAACAATCGGGCCTCAGCCTCTCTTTCATTCCAAACTTTCACCTCAAAAGGAGCAGCGGGGCACACGTGCACACAAGCACTGACAAACACTGCTTAGAGGGATTCATGCAGGTATAGGCACGCATCAATATTAACAGCACAAGTTCTAAAAGTGCGAGCGCCGCGCTCAGTCAAATCAGCGCGTGGTTATTGTGTGGCGCGCGCGCACGCACGCACAGAGACGCAGCAATGCCTGAGTCATTCTTTCCTGGGTGGTCCTCCTGCATAGATAAGGCAAGCATGCTTCCCCAGGGTGAAGCGAAAGCAACAGAGGGCAGGAGAAAACGGCAAAAGAAGAAAGAAGGGAGGGAACGGTGGGAGGAGGAAAAAAGGCCAGGGGCCTCTTTAAACTTGGTGTTTTGTTAGGAGCCGAGCTGCTCTTCATGTGCGGCGGGGGCCTTTCTATTTGCAGCGTGCTGTCAGAGGTTTCTCCCCAAAGTCTGGATTAAAGAGATCCTCTAATGACACTGAGGCTGGACGACTTCAGACAGCAGCAAAAACCTCACATTGCACCGCCTCCAGCCAAGGACACACACACACACAGAAAAGCAAAGGATGAGGCAGATGCACACAGACATACATATACAAAGCTGTAGAGCCCACACAGACACCAGCTTCAGTAGAACAAGGCTTTGTGTGCACATATGGCTACTGATCTAATAGTAAATAATAAAAGAGGTGCTAACCTCAAGGAGAGATGGATGGTCAGAGAGATGAGCACAGCCTCTCTTTTATCTGCACTTTTATCAAAGGATTGTGGGGAAAGGTAAAGAAGAAAGAAGCAGTAGGAGGAGGAGGTGGAAGAGGAGGAGTAAGAGGAGGAGGAGGAGAGGTCTTCCTCCTGAGGTGTTTGAGAAGAGAAACTTTTGCTTTTGCTTTTGCTGTCTTGTCTGCCTGCGTGTAGTAATAAAAACATGTAGTTTAGCAAGTCGACCAGGACAGCCCCTCTGAAATGAAACTCCGATATTGGTGTGAATTGACTTGCCTGTGCAGCCCTTTGATGCTTTACAGCAGTTTTCCCCGCTCACGCGTCGAGCGAGAAGCTACGCGGCGACGGCACCTGGAACCTTCCCGAACCGCGAAACGCCAAACACACGCATGGCACAGCTTACGGAGGCGTCTTCTTCGGGAGCGCTGATGAAAGTGCTGAGACAATTGCGGCGCTAATGAAGACATGCTGCAAATGAGTTATGCCCACGGGGGGAACACGCCGTAGTCTAACTTTCAGCTGCTGGGAGCTACGGTAGAAAGAGAATAGGAAACAACTCCAAAATACGTGCCATATGCCTGTCGTGTTTTCCTGCTTATTTGTGTGTCGGCACTTATGAATATATTCTGTTTATCAAATGGTACATTGCTGAACAACTGTTAAGTTCAGCTCAAGTTTCAAACATAGCTGCATGTTTTAAAAACTCCAGGTTTTTGTGACTAATTCCTGTTTTATTGTTCGCCGGCAGATGAAGGCCTCCATGAGCTGTTCCACTTCCCACGTTCCCTTGTAGCGTCCTGGAATGTAACTCCCTCCCTTATTTCCTCCCTCTCCGATATGAGGATAAAACAATCCGCAGAGCCGGAAAAGTAATCAATCAGCTGACGACGCGATGCACACGTGTTGAGTTGCACGCAGATCCAAAACATTTGCAGAGACATTATTTTGCATATGGGAAAAATGGACTGAGATTAGGGATACTGATTAAATATCTATTGGCTGATTGACCAGTTCAACTAAATTATT